TTTCTGGTATCCTCCTCAATTTCTTTCTTCAAAGACTTAAAGTTCTTGTCAAATAGGTCTTTCACTTCCTTGGTTAGAGTAACCTCAAGATATTTTATGCTATTTGTGGCTATCGTGAAAGGTGATGTTTCTCTGATTTCCCTCTCTGCTTCTTTATCCTTAGTGTATAGGAGGGCCACTGATTTTTTGGAGTTGATCTTGCATCCTGCCACGTTACTAAAGGTGTTTATCAGCTGTAGGAGTTCTTTGGTAGATTTTTTGGGGTCACTTATGTACACTATCATATCGTCAGCAAATAACGAAAGTTTAACTTCATCCTTTCCAATTCGAATCCCCTTGATCCCCTTATGTTGTGTTATTGCTATTGCTAGAACTTCAAGCACTATATTGAAGAGGTATGGAGAGAGTGGACAGCCTTGTCGTGTTCCCGATTTTAGTGGAAAGGATTTGAGTTTCTCTCCATTCAATTTGATGTTAGCTGTCGGCTTGCTGTATATTGCTTTTATTATATTTAGGTATGATCCTTGTATCCCCAGTCTCTCCAACACCTTTATCATAAATGGGTGTTGAATTTTGTCAAATGCTTTTTCAGCATCCAATAAAATGATCATATGTTTTTTTTCTTTCAGTTTATTTATATGATGAATTACATTGATAGATTTGCATATGTTGAACCAGCCCTGCATCTCTGGAATGAAGCCGACTTGATCATAATGGATAATTTTTCTAATGTGTACCTGGATTCGGTTTGCCTGGATTTTATTGAGAATTTTCGCGTCGATGTTCATCAGTGAGATTGGCCTGTAATTCTCTTTCTTGATTGTGTCTTTATGTGGTTTTGGTATTAAGGTAACTGTAGCTTCATAAATGGAGTTTGGCAATGACTCTTCTGTTTCTATATTATGGAATACATTAAGGAGAATAGGTATTAGCTCTTCCTGGAAGTTATGGTAGAATTCTGCATTGAAACCATCTGGTCCTGGGCCTGTTTTGTCAGGGAGATTTCTCATAACAGCTTCTAATTCTTCACGACTAACAGGTCTATTTAGATTGTTCACCTGTTCTTGGTTCAACTTTGGTATATGGTACTTATCTAAAAAGTTTCTTTTACATTTTCCAACTTTGTGGCATATAAACTTTCACAGTAAGATCTAATGATTCTCTGAATTTCCTCTGCGTCTGTGGTTATATCCCCCTTTTCATTTCTGATCCTATTAATTTGCATGTGCTCTCTCTGCCGTTTGATTAATTTGGATAGGGGTTTGTCAATCTTGTTGATTTTCTCCAAGAACCAGCTTTTTGATTCATTGATACTTTGGATTGTTTTCTCTGTTTCTATTTTGTTGATTTCAGCCCTCAGTTTGATTATTTCCAGTCTTCTACTCCTCCTGGGTGAATCAGCTTCTTTTTTTTCTAGAGCTTTCAAGTGTGCTGTTAGGTCTCCAATGTGTGCTTTCTCCGTTTTCTTTATTTGGGCACCGATTGCTATGAACTTTCCTCTTAGCACTGCTTTCATAGTGTCTCATAGGTTTGAGTATGTTGTGTCTTTGTTTTCATTAAATTCAAGGAAGACTTTAATTTCGTTCTTAATTTCGTCCTTGACCCAGGAGTGATTTAGTAGTTGACTGTTCAACTTCCATGAGTTTGTTGACTTCCTGGGGGTAGCATTGTTGTTGAATTCTAATTTTAATCCATGGTGATCTGACAAGACACAGGTGGTTACTAATATTTTTTTGTATCTGTGGGAGTTTGCTTTGTTACCGAGTACGTGGTCAATCTTCGAGAAGGTTCCATGAACTGGAGAGAAGAAGGTATATTCTTTCCTATTTGGGTGGAGTGTTCTATAGATGTCTGTTAAGTCCATTTGATTCAATACCTCCAATAAATCTCTTAATTCTCTGTTTGGTTTCTGTCTGATTGACCTGTTCATTGGTGAGAGAGGAGTGTTGAAGTCTCCTACTATTAGCGTGTGTGGTTTGATGACTGCCTTGAGTTCTAGAAGAGTTTCTTTTACATATGTGGGTGCCTTTACATTAGGGGCATAGATATTCAGGATTGAGACTTCTTCCTGATGAGTTGTTCGTGTTATGAGTATGAAATGTCCATCTCCATCTCTTCTGATTGATTTTAGTTTGAAGTCGATTTTGTTAGATATTAGAATGGCCACACCCGCTTGTTTCTTAGGTCCATTTGCTTGGAAAACCTTTTCCCAACCCTTTACTCTGAGTAGGTGTCTGTCTTTGTGGTTGAGGTGTGTTTCTTGTAGACAGCAGAATTTTGGATCCTGTTTTCGTATCCAATCTCTATGTCTGTACCTCTTTATAGGTGAATTGAGTCCATTGATATTAAGAGATATTAATGACCATTGGTTGTTGACTTCAGTCATTTTTTTGGGGGGGGGTAATAGAGTGTATGTGTTTTCCATCTTTGAATTGTGCTAGTGGAGGGTCGCTAGATGTCTGAATTATTGTAGGCAGTGTTGGCAATGTTGGATTCCTTGGGATGTAATTTTCCTTCTAGTATTCTATGTAAGACTGGATTAGTAGTTACATATTGTTTAAATTTGTTCTTATCCTGGAATATTTTGTTTTCTCCGTTGATAGTGAATGAAAGCTTGGCTGGGTAAAGTAGTCTGGGCTGGCATCCATGGTCCCTTAATTTCTGCAGTACCTCTGTCCAGGACCTTCTGGCTTTCATGGTTTCTATAGAGAAGTCTGGTGTAAGTATGATAGGTTTACCTTTATAGGTTACTTGACATTTTTCCTTTGCAGCTCTTAATATCCTTTCTTTAATCTGACTGCTTTGTGTTTTGATTATTATATGGCGAGGGGACGTTTTTTTCTGATCCAGTCTATTCGGTGTTCTGTATGCTTCTTGCACCTTCATAGGAATATCCCTCTTTAGGATGGGAAAGTTTTCTTCTATAATTTTGTTGAATATATCTTCTGGACCTTTGATCTGCAATTCTTCTCCTTCTTCTATTCCTATTATTCTTAGATTTGGTTTTTTTTATTGTGTCCCACAGTTCCTGATGCGCCTGCCCATCTCTTCCTTCAGATGCTCTCCAATGGCTCTTCCCTCCGCTGGGTCTTCTTCTACTGGATTAGTGTCCCTTGCTATCCAGGAATCACTTTGCCTGCAGTCTTAGCTAGCTGCAGGCAGGATTTAGAACAAAGGGACTTCCTTCCCTTTGCACTCACCACCTATCCAGACCCGTGGTGCCCACCCTGGCCGAGATGGAGGAATTTAAGCCCGGAAAAAGGGAGAGAGGAGGGGAGGGGTTCGAGGCCAAAAGCTGGGATGGCGTAGCAGGAGAGAGGGATTAGCTGGGGGAAGCTGCCCCTTTGGAGTAGCCAGGGAGATAAGG